GATGAGTATTTTGATATATCATTTGAATTTCTAGACCGAATAACTTTTGAGATATTCGACTTTATAATGTTATAGTCCAATAAAAAACACCCTGTATATTACGTGCATTTTTGTATTTTACAATGTAAATTACATGGCCTCAAAAAAATCTTTGTAATTTACCAACCTTAGTCTATACCGTATAGACAACTGGTTTATGAAGTTTTCATTCAATTATTTAGTTTCAAAAGTCTTCAGTAAAAGTAGTTTTCATTGAAGACATCATTGATGGATGAGTTGTGGCCCTCTATTGGCAATGGTTTGGCACAAAACAAAGCATTGTTTTCATATGTTTTCACACTTTGAGCACAATTTGTGACACAAATAATCACTTCATTTGTCACCGAAAATGGCCTCAAAAGCAAAGCCGAAGACACAATCAAACGAAGCAATAATCGCCGGCTTTAATGAATTACGAGCCGAACANCGAAAATGGCCTCAAAAGCAAAGCCGAAGACACAATCAAACGAAGCAATAATCGCCGGCTTTAATGAATTACGAGCCGAACAAAGACAAGTGGCCAACAAAGTGGCCGAACTCGAGGCCGACCTCTCAGAACACAAGTAGTGCCCCAACTCTTGATTGTCTGACCAATTGATCCCAATTGTGATGTCTATTCTTCCGCTTCTTGTTTGACAGACTGGTGTTGGAAGCGTTGGCCGAGACTAACGGCGACCGCAAGTGTTTCCGAATGATTGGCGGCGTTCTTGTCGAGCGAACGGTCGCCGAAGTTTCGCCTTCGCTGCAGAAGAATAAAGAGATGGTAAGCGAGAAGACAATCGCTTGTTGTTTATGTTTTGTCGCGATTTTAATGACTATTTTGTGGACAGATTTCGCAAATGATTGAAACATTGAAACAACAAATCGTTACTAAAGGACAACAAATCACGGAATATATGGACAAAAACCAGATTCAGATCCGCTCTCAACCGACGGCGCAATCGTTAGCCGCGTCTGAATCGGGCGCCGGAGCCGAGGGTTCGGGCGTTTTGGTCGCCAATAGTTAGAAGTGAAGCCTTTTTTGAATTGAATATTGTTTGTGAGGCCAGAGAGAGAGAGAGAGAGAGAGAGAGGGCCTCTACTTTGCATACAATGTCTAAATACATGGCAATTATATTGTGAAATACAGACCAAATGTTTGGCATATTGTGTGCAAACATCTCTTATAATTCATTAAATGTAAAACTAAATTGATTTGTAATAAATAACATTTAAAACATAATTATTAAATCA